CATCTGAAGCTCAGATCCAGGCGCCCGACACCTCCTCCCCCCCTTCCTTTCTCTGCTCTTCCCTAGCGGATCCAACCTGGGGGAGAGAAGCTCTCCCACCCCAAGTCCCTTATCCCACACTGCTCTGCCCGCAGCTGGGAAAGGGCATCAAGTGTCAGCTGTTCTCCAGCAGCAGCAGCCAAAGACGCAGCCCCCTCAACCCCCCCACCCCCACCCTCCAGACCAGGGACTGAACCTGCACTCTGGATCCCACCCAGGGTTCACAGTCTTGCCTGTGGCCAAAACTCCTCTGCTTCAGCAGAATCGGACTCCCCAAAACCTTTCCCCTGAGGAACCCCTTCCAGAGGCGAATCGGGAGGTTCCCCCCAGGCCCCTTCTTACCTGGAGCTGCCCGAGCAGGGTGAGGGTCTGGTCGTGCGGGAAGGTCTGGTTGATGCTGACGATGGCCGAGGAGAACTCTGCATAGCGGCGGGTGATCTAGAGACACAGCAAGGAGAGGCGGGGGTCTGGAGACACTGCCCCATAACGTCCAGAGATGGGGGGGCTGGGGTCTTCCTCCCAATCCCCCCCCACCCCGGCAGCCCATCAGGAAGACCCCAGAGCAGACACGGCACTCATGAGGAGTCTTACGGGCCAGAATGGTTCGGGGCCCACATATTCAAGGGAGGGGGGTCTCCCTTATACACCCCACCATCGCTAAGGTCTGCTGGTGGTGGTGGTGGGGAGGTCCCAGTAGGGAGGGCAGCCCAGGATGTGGAAAGCAGAGAAGGCCTTCCTCAGCTGTGGGAGCCCCACCAATCTCCTTAACTTGCCCATCCCCAATGAAAATCTGCCTTTTTTGGGTTAGTATTTTAGTATCTAGGAAAATCAGAAGGTAGTTTCTGCTCCTTCCATTTCCTGGCTTTGCTCTTGTCCATTTCAGTGCGTGGGGGGCAAAAATACAACCCTCTATGTGGTAAAGTGCTCCAGTTTGTTTTCTTTGTTCTTATTTTTTATTATTATTATAGCTACTGCTTTGTAGTTACTAAAGCTACTGAACTGTGAAGTTGCTCTGTACTATTTCAGCAATTCCATATTAAGGGAACGAGTTTAACTTCTTTTGATAGGATTCTATTTCATTCTACCTGCCCTGATAGAAAACGGGTTAGAAATAGCTAAATAGGGTGTGTGGGGGACCCACCGTACAGGAGATGCACCTCCCTGGCTCTTCTTCCAAAAAGCTCCAGGGAAGAAAGTGGTCCTCCCCACATCTTGTGGCAGGGAGTTCCACAAGGCCACCAAGCAATATCCTCTTCAGAAGGCAGGGAAGAGAATTTCCCCCCCCCCGAGTCCCCTTTCCAACCCCTGCCAAGGGGGGGCAAGGATCTTCCCCAGAACAAAAGACACCCAGTGGGGTGAAGCCAAGCTTTCCCCCTCCTCTCTCCCACCCCGGCTTACGTAGTGGGGCCGGGTGTCGAGGAAGCCCAGCTTCTGTGGGTCCGTATTTTGGATGCTCTGGATGTTCAGTTCCAGGATGTGCTCAAAACGGGGCCACAGCATCTCCAGTAAAGTGTCCCAATACCTGTGGGGTGGGAGTTGGGGTGGAGAGAGAGCAGAGAGAGGGAGAGAGAGAAATGGGGTACAGGACAACGCCATGCTCAGTGGCTCTCTGGATCATCTCCAGCCTATGGACCTTCAAGGAACTGAAACTAGAGAACAGCAGGGCTTGGGTGACCTGGA